CCCCCCGGCGAAAGTGGGGGGCAGCGGGGGCACGCGCTTCGCCCTCCCCCGCGCCGGCTGTGTTCGTGTGTCTGCGCCCCAAAAGGGGAAGAAGTGTGGGAGTCACTCGGAAGAGGGCGCGGGGGAGCCTGCCGTGTCTCTGAAGTTGCTCACCCCCTCGCGCGAAGGTGCCTCAAACTGTCGCCCGCCTGTCACGCCTGCGCCGGATTTATCCCGAAGAGCGTGTCACCTGGCTCGCGTCTTGCCTAGTGCCCCCTCAGTCGCCCACGTGTACCAAGCAAGAGAGGGGGCCCGGCCGATGGGTAACGTCAGCGTTACCGAAGGAGGAACGAGCCCACCTTTCCCACCTCCTCTTCAGCCCCGCTGGAGCATTAATGGAGAGAAGACGTGCCCACGCCTTGATCTCGGGACTATGTGATTACTCTGCCTTGCCCCTCTGGAAACTACCTACAAAAAAGTAGGGGTGGGTGCGTGCCAACACTCACATATATACTCCATTAGCCACCACAGCCTCTAGAGTACTCTTTTCAATCAGGTTTTCTGTGAGTTGAGAAATGTGTCAACATTTGCTCTTCCTGTGTCACCACCTACGAAGCTGCATTATTCAAGGTTACTCTGGAAGCAGTGCTAGATACACTGGGTGTACGCCCCATCACCATCACAGAATTGCATCATGGATGTAGACTAATTTCAAATTAGCAATCTTGTAATGCTTTTAAAGAATTCAGGTGGTTAATGAGCAGCAAATTTTTAGATTTCTACCATCTCAAGATTTCATTATCAGTGATCTCTTATGAGATTGTAAGAGGAAAGCCATGTCAGCCTATGGTGGCAAAAAATCAGAAGGAACCTGGTAGCTCCTTTTCCAACTAACATGTTTTATTAAAATGCATAATCAGCCCCCTTCTGATTTATGGCAGTTACATTTGTCCCATCTACTGCAATACATGCTTACTTGTGAATATCTTCATCTGTTGCAGAAACTGCAGTTCAAAATTAGAAATGCTTCTAGAGACATTAAGTCAGAAAACCTTGTCATCAAGATCAGGAAGACACTTTGAATCCACAAATCACAGAGAGGAAAGAATATGCCATCAAATTAGCATCTCAGAAAAAGAGCTTGCTTCTTCTCAGTTTCCCTCAGAAATCGAATCGCTTGCATACATTTCTTTTTTTATTGCTGACTGAGCCATTCATACATTAATTTATTGACTGCCTATATATTCCATATCAATCTGATATCCAAAGGAAGGGAGGTTCATCAGCAAGCATTTTGTCCTCTCAATGTAAGGTTTTATAACTAATCCAAACTTTGAAATGTGGCCTTCAGAAAATCCCTAAAATTTTCCTCAGAATTAAAGATTTAAATATTACATAACAGGAAAATTATTAAAGTTAATATGCTTGTTCCATTTATATGTAATACTTTTCTTGTTTTGTCATCTTAAAATGCATAATTCTGTGCTAATTTAATTTAAATTTATTTCTCTTTATTCTTGCTTTTCCTTTATGAAATAAAAAGAGGGATGTAAGGCAGTATTATTTTGCTAGTAGAGGTTTCTTTATGTGTGGCACGATTCTGATTTCAGAAGCAGAAGCCACAGTCATGTATGTCATTGTTTACCCTAGATTTCCCTCTTCAAAAAAACATAGCATCATTACAAGCAGAGGGAAAAAGTAGTCTCCACAAGCATGTAACATGTGATGGTTCTCTGAGTTCAATGGTGTCTATGGAATGTTTTCTTTCCCCACTATTAAGATGGGGTTTACTAATCCTCTCTAGAAGAAGGAAAGTATTCTGGACATAAAATACGTAATACTATATTCTCTTTGAATAATACTTACTGTCACAAACCCAAAGTTCAACCATGACACAAAATCCATGATTCTTTCCAAAAAATAAGGGGAGAAGGAAAAAATTAATTAAAACTTGCCAAGTGGACATCCACAAAATCTAGTTACACTAGCAAGCTGACCAAAAATTGACAGATTCTAGTGTGTTTCAGAGGTTTAGGAGATTTGCCAATACCGTAACCACTGCTAAACACTCCTGTGCCAGTATAATGTAATTATGCTAGCTGATGGTGCCAATAGAGGTGGCTTCTATGCATCTGCTTGTGGTCTATATTATAAAAACTAGACATGCAGAAGAGCCTTTTAATTTGAGTGTTTAACCCAGGCTTCAGTCTGCTTTTTCTATGGTTAAGAGCACAGCTACATAGTCGAAGTGGAATTTAGTTGCAGACATGTGCAACTGATATGTCTCCCTCCTTCATCACATGTTTGTGGAAACAAAAGAAAATGTGCTACTTGACTGATCAAGGAAGAAACAATATTTCATTATTATTATAAACCTATGCCCCTAATGAAGTATGCAAAGCAAAATAAAAGCCAAAATGGAATGGAGCCATACACACACAAAGACCTACATGTATCTCAGTTCTATACATAATAACTAAAATAGGGCTTAATCTCAAATAGGTGTGCATAGGTTTGGAACCTAAGGATTTTGTGAAGACTCTTAATTAACATGAAGTGATGTCTCAAGAATTTTTTTAAAAAGGAATCTTTTCCTCTCCCACCAGAATTTCTTGCAATAATTAATACAATCAATCAAAAAGAAGAGGTAGCCTAACAGCCAGGTTTTATAATGCTAATTATTACGAGGAATACACAAAGGAAAAATAATAGCTGGCTTCATTGTGTTTATTTATATCCCGCCTTTCCAGACTATGATAACCAAAGCTGCTGTTACCTGTTGGTTTCTGTGAAAATGTGACTCAGGCATTTATTAAATAAATATGGACAATAGCTGACAAAAAAGTTCTAATTTTATTTTGAGAGCAAGTTTCTGGATCTGAAACAGCTCAATTTGGGCCATTAAGTTCTCAAAAAGTATGCAGTTTCCTAGAATAAAGAAAAACAAAGTAAACAGTTATAACCTTTATTAGAAGTACTTTCTTGATTCAAATTGAATAATGCTGTGGTCGAAATAACTTGAATAAATGAGCCAAACCAGGCATTAACAAATCTGATGTATGAGAAATTATACTTTACTGTATAAGAGCATCAGACCTTAAGAACAGGAAAATGTTCTGTGGTTTCTAACAAAGTTCTGGATGCTGCTTGTCCTGATACAGTTGTTGTATGATATTATCTTCTCCTTAATACAGGTAGACCCCAGTTTAAGAATGAGTTCTGTTCCCAAGGTCTGTTATACTGTATTACTACTGAATACTACTGTATGCATAGTTTTGTGTAATGAACTCAAACCATTGTGTATTTAACTCGAATCATTGTGTATTTAACTCAAATTTTGCTACAATGGGCTCTGTTCTCAACTATGTGTCGTCCTTAAAACAGGCATTCTTAAACTGGGGGCTACCTGTAGGCAGATAGGTAGCAAAGAAGAGGCAGATGGATAGCCAAAAAGTGAAAATAAAGAGCACCAGTACCTGCTTCCTTATTTACAGAAGCACCTGTCCAAAGGAAAAAAGAAAGCTCTACAATCATATTGGGCCTAGTTACTTACTATGTATGGCAGAGATGTGTAGGCAGATAAAAGTCTTGCAAGCTGCATAACCTGCTAGACTCCATATATATAAACCATATTGAATATAACAGAGAAAGGTATTTTGAAAAGGAGAAGAAGAGATTGAGGGGCAGGTGAATGGAATACAAGAGCAGAAAAACTAAAACTTTTCAAAAAAAGGAAACAGAGAAAAAGAATAGGAGAAGTAGGATAGACAAGTTGAACTTTGATAAAGATATCAAACTTGTATCTCCCATGAAGGATAAAATGGAAGGATGTATAAGAATCAGTAACTAGTTAACAGGAAGAGAGAATGAGGGACAATTTTGACAACTGCAGGAAATAACAAGTGGAGATCTACATGTTCTAAAATCAGGTAAATTCAAGCATACCAGAGGTGTATGAATGAATCAATCCACATTCAGAAGAGGAATGCTTTCACTACCATGTGCTTTTGTTAAACGGCAAGACAAGGGTTCCCCAGTCTTCTAGCTAGTGAGTCTTTCAGAGGCGTTTGGGTGGTCAAACAGACCTTGGACCTTAAACTGAGAGCATATATTGATCTTCTTTGCAGATGGTATCTGGTAAAGCTATAAATAAAAAAGATTTCACAAAGGTGCTAGAACTCTGGATAATACTGATCCTGATAAGGTAATCTGTTTTCCCCATGATACAAACCCTCTGTGGAAGAAATACTACAATAGTAAGAAATTGCATCCAAGAATAGATTTGGACAGAATCATTCAAACAATAAAAATGCCAATTCATACTCTCCTTTATATTAAACTACTTCCCATACAAGTGCAACCTAACTCTGAGATACACTAGGATGCCTGGGCAGACTACAAGAACAATAATTTATCGCCTCAAAAAGTTGTGTTGTTTTCATTACAACATTGAGCTTCCTTAGCGAAAGATTAATTATGTAGTTCCTTAGTCTTCTTTGTTTCTTAGCAAATATTATAATATCAGGCACTGAAAGCCTGCCAACCCATCTCACCAGAGTGTAATTTCACGTGATTTGTAACATATGTGACACAAGGTAATTATTCTGTTTATGAAATACACTCTTAATACATAATTTTTAGACTCAGTTTTGGGTGTTTTGTTTTTATCTAAGAACTTGATTGTGCAACTTTAAGTCCATCAAGAGATTTCGGCTTTGATTCCAGAGATCAGAGAACAATTCTTAGATTAGTATAAAGTGGGAATGGCTGTGGGATCTCATGTGGCTATTATCAAAGGTCACACTTCTGCATCAATGACTTTCACAGGATAGTATAAAGTGCTGCCATTCCTGTTGATTTATGCTGACATTTTAAATCCATCTCTCAATTTTACCAAAGTTCATGCAAGTGCTTTTCCTTACCTGCTGAGGGGTAATCTTCTTGTCTGCAAAAGGAGAGAAAGATGGCTAGGCTCACCATGGTTTGTTTGGTTTTCATTTAGTGCATCTGTATATCCACCCATTATGTTTTATTCAATAAACAATGTTTTATACAGTACATTATGTGGGCTAAAGTAATGTGTGAACCAGGCTATAGTAGCTCACTTTTCACAAAGCACTATAGTGGAGTGATAGTGGGGCTATCATATCTGAACTGCAAAAGTCCAGATGTCCATTAGAGTTTTCTGTTTTTCTTTGCTGCCATCTAGTGGTTGTCTGGATGTTTGCAACCCATCTATGGGAGCCCTGAATGAAGGGTCTATGCACTAGCTAGTGACTGTAAGTATTCTATACCTGTAAAGCCATTGTCCTCTTCCAGTGGGAGACGGGCTATTTCATTGTCTTCAGTCAGTCATTGACTGAAGATTCTTAAAGCAGGAAAGGACTTTAGAAGCAGATTTTTCTTTTCCTTCTCTATCCTTCTTCCTCTTTGTTTTGCTTCCTGGATTGTCAGTTAATGATTGCTTACTTTGGTATGCAGATCTAAGCCTAGTGGATGATAATCTATTTTTCAAGTCCTTATTTGTTGCCTTTATTAAAAATAAAGCATTGGGTTTGTATTAGCAGTCCCTGCTTGGGCCTGGTAGCCCTGATTAAAAAGTAATTATTACACTTAGTCCTGGGGATTTCCCATTCTGCCTTATCCAGATTCCATGCGAAGGGCACCTCTGTATTGAAGAAGAGATGGTGGCAGCTTAACTATCAGCCTGGAAGGGGAAATTTCACCTCCAGAGAGCAGCTACACCCAGACCCTGGGAACTTTAAGACTGTTTTAATTGTTCGTTTTATTGTATGCCATCCAGAGTCAGATTCATGAATTGGGCAGCTATATAAATTTGATAAACAAACAAGCAAACAAACTCAAGGAGAACGGTTGAAAATAAGGTATGTGTAAATGTGTATTCATAATAACTGGTGATCTCACAAGTTTTTATGTATGTATGTATGTATGTATGTATGTATGTATGTATGTATGTATATAAAAATCTAATGCCCTGGTCACATATGAAACAGGGTCCATGGGCATACATTACCAGTCCCTGATTTACAAGATGATCCTCCAAATCTTTTGATGACAAAGGGAACAGGAATTGGTAAGAATGTCTCCCCACACTTGTAAATTTCGAACTCTGAATGGACGTGGGCTTCATGTTCCCCCATCTAACAGGTGTAATTGTTGTATTTTCTTTTGCTTCTACTTAGTAGATATGTCATGTCTGCAGCTTGGAAAATTCAGCTGGCAGAGGGCTTTTCCTTGCCTACGAAGTATGCCTCCCTTAAAGCAAGCACTAAACTAATCGCTTCTGTTGTGTCTGGATTCTCACCAGCACAGATCCCAGGTTTATTTACCAGCACCTGGACTGTCAGCACAGAGTATTTTAAACTGCTATGAAATGTTATGAATCAATGCCAGTATTTGTACATAAAATTAATGCCAACTGTAAATGTTAATGTGAGCTTCTTTACTTTACTAACCAAAGTATTTAATGTACTTAGTCCAGCCTCAAAGTTTGTCTTTAACTGGTTTATGTTCTTAGAAATACTGTCTATCTAATTGTTGATGAGGGAGTTGGTGGGTGAATATTTTCAATAAATATTTGTTTAAATGAAATTTGAGGACATAACAAGGAACTAACTTTTCATTATTACTGAAGAGCCATCATAGTCCAATGGTCAGCACAGGGGACATGATTCAAGGAGACCTGAGTTCAGATCCACACACAAACTATGGAACTCTTGGTGACATGGACTGGTCACTGAGAAGGACACTGCACCATAAACTAGCTAACCAAATTTCAGCCTAGTGTATTCTGCAAACCGATCCTAAATGTATTTATAAAGATCAGAATTATACAAGCAATGATATTCCCTGTGATACTCTATGGAAGCGAAAGTTGGAAAGAAGCAGAATAGTAAGAGTATTGACACTTTTGGTGTTGAAGAAGACTCCTGAGAATACCAAGGACAGCCAAGAAAACAAATGGATCATCAAACAAATCAATCCAGAGTTCTCACCCGTGGCATGAATGACCAGGTTGAAATTATCCTACTTTGGACACATTATGCAAAGTCCTACAGTAGCTCTCTGGAGAAGGTTCTAATGCTGGAAAAGATGGAAGGAAAGAGGAGAATAAGATGACCATGAACAAGCAGTTACAGTGAATGCACTATTGGAAGACTTGAAAGGCCAGGTTAAGGATAGATTGTCATGGAAAAAAATCTATATGGTTACTACAAGTCAGTACCAAATTGATGGCACATAATCAATCAATCATTGTCTGAAATGATTAGCTTATGGTTCAGTGTGTTGCTCAAATGCAGAAAATTGTACTGAGCAAACCATGATTGTTAACCAAAGATATGTGGTAACACACTTGTCTCTCAATGTTGCCTATCATATACAGCTTTTGTAAGGATAACGTGAGGGATAGAACCTTTTGTGTTAACCTGAGTTCCGTGCAGGAAAGGTAATGAACCTGACTAGCTTTTAAAAACTACCACAGAAAACATTCTGAAGATGCCTCTAGGGTCAGATACTTCTTTATCTGAAATGAGGGAGGACTATACAGCTTTCAGGCTACGCAATACATTACTTTTGGAATAGGATTAACCTCCCTCCCCTTTTCTTTAATTTATGGTGGGTAGCATCTAGCTGAGCTTCTCTGGGCTCAGCAGCTAAGCAGGGTCTAACTATGGACTGGCTAGTACTTGAATTGCACTCAATCAGGAAAGCTCACACCTTTAGGCTATGGCTACCATATCTGGGCTGCAAAATCCAGGCAGCCACTAGAGGGCAGTAAATAGTGAGTTCCTGAATCTTCTTGCTGCCATCTAGTGACCACCTGGATTAGTGCAGGCTAAATGTGGTAGCCCCCCATAGGCTAGATTGGGAAAAGTGGAGAAACATCCTGAAAGAAGGCAGTGGCAACCTCATCAGTTCTGTTGCCAAGAAAACGGCATGGCTTTGTCCATGTAGTCCCTAAGAATCAAGAGCATCTTTACCTTTACACCTCTCTAACCCTAACCAAAATGCACCACTTCATCCAGACGTTATTGTTTTGTTGTGGACTGCCTTGATGCCTTGACTGAATAGAAAAGGATACAAATCTGATTAATTAAATGCTAATCACTGTGGTCTGTTTGGTATTGACTTAAAATTATTTGTGAATGTAGCTACTGGTTTGTATATGATGGTTAAGACCTGATGGATTGTTTAACAATCATGGTTAAAACAAAGCATGGCTAAGTATGATATTGTTGGCCCACCCAACAGAAATTCATTGAAATTAATAATGAAATCTACAAGCCCATGGATGTTTATCAATGCATTCCATGAGAAAACATTAAGATCACATTATTAATAGAAATGGAATTTAAGGTTGAATCCTATGCATAATTATCTGAGAATAAATGCCATTGAATACAGTATGGTTTACCTTTGTGTAAGTATCACCTGTTGTACTACATATTATACACCACTTTATGAAGTGATGTGGCCCCCTTTCTCCCAAGAATAAAATAAAGCTCCTATGTTGCTTTGCTTTGTCCTGCTTTGATCTTCTCTGCAGCCTCTTCTGTAACATCCTCTGGCACTTCAAACAGCTGGAAGAGGCAAAGCATTTCATCAAGATGAATCAAAGTGACCTCTCTCAGATCTAGGACAGATAGTGTGATTACTGTACTGTTCAGTATGTTTGCAAACTTGCATAATTCAATAAATTATGAGTAAGCATGTCGTGAAAACACCGTGTCTTGGTGATATCTCTTATATTCAGAGATATCTATGAATTCTATGGCTCTTCAGGCTGGAAGAAGAGAGTTTTTCAGAAATTAAACTAAACTTTTCTAAAGAAAAGAACATTCATTCATTCATTCATTCATTCATTCATTCATTCATTCATTCAATGTTTATAGCCCATCCCAATCCTAATGGATTCTGGGCTGAGTATAGCAAAATCCCTTGCCTCATGCACTAAAAACTGATACAAATAATAGTAATCAAATATTTAAAAATTTGATATATTGAAGGCACTGTACACTTAACCTAAGGGCCAAAAGTACATTTTGGCCTATTGTCAAATAGTTGTAAAGTTGAGGCCATCTTTTTCTCTGGGAGGAGAGTGTTCCATTAAACAGGGCTAGCACTGTGGAGGCCTGTTGCTTAGCCCACAATCCAAGAACATCACGAGAAGAGGGGAACCCACAACAGGCCCTCTCTAAATGACTAGACTGGATGGGCAGATCTGAGTTTGGCAAGACATTGCCTGATATAGCCTGGTGCTGCACCATAAAGGGCTTTAAAAGTGATAATCAGCTAAGTGTTGAATTGTGTCCATAAGCCTATTGGCAACAAATACAGTAACTTATTCTCTCCAGACAGGGTTGACCCATCAAGAGTCAATGTCAGCCCTGAGAGTTAGGCCAGGAGAGAAAACTGACAGAGCAAAGATTTCAGGAATGTTACTTTACTGATCTAGGGTATAATAACAGAATCCTGAAAGCCTGCCAAAGGATTCCTCTGCCGCCTCTTATGCTAAATGGAATCAAGGCAGAATTATTTTGAGCTTATTTCTCACATCTTCCTCTTTCCCAGGGCTGAGTTTTCCTTTACTTTCTCTTAACAGTTTTTGTTGTTCATAACCTTCATCAAGGTTATCTTGCTCTTCCACAAGCTGCCACGTTTTGTACCAACTGTAGCTTCTGAGTTTTCTCTGGATGAAGCCCCTCTTACAGCACATTGCTGTATTTCATTAGGGTGATGATCATGGTCTGAGTTACTTTTGCCAGGGCCTCTTGGTCCAGGTAGAATCATGAGTGGTTCACTAGCTTAACCTGGGTGAAGGCTCCCCTTGCCACACTTCTATCTGCCATTTAAGCAGGAGCTACCAATCCAGGACAACCCCCAAATTACAAGTGAACTTCTTAAGAGGGACTGTGCACCCATCCCGAATAACTACCAGAGCAGATGTTACAAGATTGCCATGATGTCAATTGACAACAAGCAATTCTGTCTCAGCAGGATTTAGTCTGAGTTTGTTTTGCCTCATCCAGATCCTTATAGTCTCCAAATACCAGTTCAGACTTTAATGGCATCAGTGGTTCATCCTGGGGTGGCAAGGTATAATTAGATGTCATCAATACATTGATGAATCTCACCCTGAACCAACAAATGATCTTCCTCAACAGTTTTATGCAGATGTTAAATAATAAAGGGGAAAGCACCAAACCCTGAGGAACCACACTGGAGTGAGTTCTGAAGGGTTTGAACACTGTTCATCATGACCACTGACTAGAAGTGCTCGTAGACGCAGGAGCAGAACCACCATAAACTGATGCCCCCAACTGCAGGCATTCAAGAAGAATACCATGTCTGATGGTACTG